AGCTTTGTTCTAAGAATATGTTTCTAGATATCAGCCCAGTCCTGTTTACGTGACAAACCACCTGGTCTCGGAGATGAAAGAAATTAAGGGTAACAATAATCTCCAACTCTCTTGCCATTTCTCCCAAGAATATTTTTCTACCCTAACTCTCCTGCTATCTCACCCATAAACAGTACACTCTCAGCTAAGTAACTTTTGGTTCCCTAAATCCAAGGACACCTGAAAATTAACATTTGTGTCTTAAGACTTTGTTTCACAGACCATGGCCCAATCTCCCTGTCTACATGACTGATTACCTGAAACTCAGGCTGCTGCTCTCATAAACAGCTAATCACCATGGCAATGACAACCCCGTCCTATCATCACTTTTCACAGGAATGCTCTTTGCAAATCACTTCCCATTCCCAGCCTCCTGGAAAAGAAACTATTAAAAAAAAACCCAGCCTCCAGCATTTGCTGCCAAATGGTCCTTGAACATCTGGCCCCCTCTCCAATCTTGGAGAGGCAGATTCACTCTTTTTCTCTGATCGACTGTCTAAATAAACAATTTTTTCCTAATTTAATTTCCGTGTAATTCTTTGTATACTATGGCACCAGCTCAGCCCATGGACCCAACACCTCTCTTCTTTTTGCTAATAAACTTTTGAAACTTTGCTGGCCACTCTAAAATTCACTTTAGGGTTGAGTCAAGAGAATCTACAAGTTTTGCGCCACATTCCACCTGGCATCACAGTGGGCTGTGATTGCACCACTGAACTCCAGTCTGGGTGACAGAGCAAAAAACTTCTGATACATGCTATAACATGGATGAACCTTGAGGATAAGATGCTAAGTAAAACAAGTTAGTTACAAAAGACCATGTATAGTAAGACTCCTTTCAAAGGAAATGTCTAAAATTGGCAAATCTACCAATCAGAAATATTGCTGGTTACCTAGGACTGGGGGAGCTAGAGGTAGAGGAAAATGATGAAAACTAAATTTTGATCTTTTTTTCCCCTTAGAGTGGTCTTCAATAGTAATCTCTGACCCGTTTTTCTCTTCCCCAAATTCCTAACTAAGGGGCCTGTGGGGTCAAGTTCTACAAATCATAAGGTTTCATCAGGCAGATTTTTTTTTTCTTTCCAGAGTGAAGGATTTAGTTTATTTAGAAAATTGGAGAGAAACAGAGAGAAAGAAAGAGGAATTCACCTCCCCAAGGTAGGGAAGGGGGTCAAAGTCAGGAAACATGGGGATAGCCATAGCTCAAAGAGCGCATGACCATACCAGAGTCTAGTAAGGCAATAGTCCATCAGGCAGATTTTTATTAACCCTATATAATGTGGCTTATTTCTCAGTCTGACTCTAGCATAACATTAAGTAACAAATAAAGCAGAAAAGCAAATTATTTTATGATCCTGCAAAGCTGTCTCTTAGGGAAATTAGTATCTGCATAAAATCCCCTGCTTGGGGATTCCTGGAGGAGCTGGAGGCCTCTTAAAACACTTGCCATCTATTCTACTGACTGCTACCTAGGAGATCTCATCTACATGTCAAGAACCTAGACGTAGCTGGCTCGGTGGCTCAGCCTGTAATCCCCACACCCTTGGGAGGCTGAGGTGAGTGGATTGCCTGAGCCCACAGGTTCGAGACCCGCCTGGGCAACTTGGCGAGACCTCATCTCCAAAATAAATTAAAAAAACTAGGCGGGCGTGGTAGCACGCGCCTGTAGTTCCAGCTACTTGGAAGGCTGAGGCGGAAGGATTGCTGGAGCCCAGCAGGTCAAGGCTGCAGTGGCTGGGAGCGGCCACTGCACTCCAGACTGGGCGACCGAGTGAGACTCCAACTCAAAAAAAAAAAAAAAAAAAGAACCTAGACGTCCTTATGTGCCCTTAACTCAGCGTTTCTTTTACTGATTTCAAATTATGTAGTCAGAGTTTAACCTTTTCTTACCAGATGCCAATCAGAAAATCTTTTAATTCAGCCATGACTTACTTATAAGGCCCCATTTGGAGATGTCCTGCCTTCCTGGGACCACTTAATGATCACAGGAATTGATTTATGTATTGCCTGTAACTTCTATCTCCCTAAAATGTATCAAACTATATTGTAATTTAACTATTTTGGGCACAAGGTCTCAGGACCTCTGGGGACTGTGCCACAGGCCTACGTTACTCACATTTGGCTCAGAATTAATGTCTTTCAACATTTTAGAGTTTGCCATTTTTGTCAACAACGAGGAGTGACTGTTAAAGGGTTTGAGATTTCTTTGTGAGGTCATGAAAATCTTCTGAAACTGTGATGAGGGTTGTATAACTTTGTGAATATACTAAAAATGTGAATTATACATTTTAGATGAGTGAATTGTATGGTATGTAAATTATGTCTCAATCAAGCAGTTAATATTTTTTAAATAGTAATATTAAATATTTTATTTAAAAATATACATACTTTTTGAGTTGAAGTCTCACTCTGTTGCTCAGGCTGGACTGCAATGGCACATTCACGGCTCCCACAGCTTCGACCTACTGGGCTCAGGTTATCCTTCCGCCTCAGCCTCAGCCTTCCAAGTAGCTGGAACTACAGGCACATACCACCATGCCCGGCTAATTTTTTTATTTTATTGTAGAGATGAGGTCTCACCAAGTTGCCCAGGCTGGTCTCAAACCCATGAGCTCAAGCAATCCTCTCACTTCAGCCTCCAAAAGTGCTGGGATTATAGGCATGAGCCACCGCTCCCAGCCCTATGTTAAAAATTTTAATACTGAAATTTTAGATGGCTCCCTACTGACCACGTGTCAACATCTGTGAAGGCTAAAGCAATTCCATCTTGGATGCTAATCCATCATGTTGACTTCTGATTAACCCAGTTCCCGGAATGTCTCTAAGGTTTCTACTTTGTCTACTGCTCCTTAAGTAAGAGCTTGTAAATCCTGGCCTAATCTTAATGTCATCTTAAACACTCACTGTGCGCCCTGCCCTACGGCTATGATGTACATAGCATTCTTCCCTTTCCCAGGGGGCTCAACTTTAATTGTCCTAAACATTCCTTCTGAAGCACATATACCCTTTCCCTATGGTATGTAAGTTCTGGGTCTAGGGGGTAACAGCACAGAGATCTACCTGTCTTGCTGTCACCAAAACCACACTTCTGTCTCTTAAGTTTCCCAATAAATCACTTTCTACCAACAAACTGATTTATCTGTCTCATTCTTTAGTTTATCAGTAACTCTTGCATTTGGGTGTTACTTTGTATATACAGCCCTTTCCCAAAACAGTATCCATGTCTCTCAGCTTGGCAAGTCCCACAATGTTGACTGGAGTCATCTTTCTTTCCTTATCTTTTATAACCACCCCCACTAAGTGCCCAGCTCGAGCCATAGCGGGTTTGTGTTTTCCTCCTCTCGTGCCCTTCCTCACACCTGCCCCATTCCTTGACATTTTCTTCATTGCCTCCTCCCTGCAGAACCCCATCACACTGTATTCAACACGTTGGTTTGGCTTGATTCTTCTGCTAGACTGAGTCCTTGAAGGGAAAGATGAGATCTTATTCCTCTTTGTGTTTCTGGAGCCTGGTTCAAGGTCTCACACTAGTAGGCCTCATACATTTTTAATGAATCATGATGGGTAAACACCCTCTAACATTAACTAAAGCTGCAGGGTTTCTGGTTATCCCAGTGATGCTTGTGGACTCCAAATTTGAGCACTTCTTCCTTAGTCATAGGACTATGAAGCTGGGCTCTGGATGGAATGCACTACTTCTGGAATGCCCAGAGAACTCCATTCCCCTCCATCATACTGCTGGCCTTCCTGGACTAGGTTTACCAGAGATAGCCCTCAAGAGTCATGACAAAAGCAGAGGGAGGGAGCAGCAGATCAGTCACAAGGATCAACCTGCAAAGTTTAAGCCACAAGATCTATTGGGAAATGCACAATTCTGGTCTGGTATTTTTAAAAAACTTAATTTCTAGCTGGGCTGGGTGGCTCAGCTTCTAATCCCGAGCTTTGGGAGGCTGAGGTGAGTGGATTGCCTGAGCCCGCGGGTTTGAGACCCGCCTGGGCAACTTGACAAGACCTCATCTCTACAATAAATCAAAAAAATTAGCCAGGTGTGGTAGCCTGCGCCTGTAATTCCAGCTACTTGGAAGGCTAAAGCGGAAGGATCGCTGGAGCACAGCAGGTCGAGGCTGCGGTGGCCGGGAGCAGTCACTGCACTCCAGTCTGGGCGACAGAGTGAGACTCCAACTCAAAAAAAACAAAAACAAAAACAAGAAAACTTAATTTCTGAGCCCTAAGAAATTATGGAAAATGCTTTAACAAAAATCTAAGAATCCAGACACCCATGCAATAGCAGGGTCCTGCCATATATCAGGTCAATGTGAGTATGAACAGGAAGCCACATGGGAAGGAGGCTCAGGGTTGCCACATACTTCAAAAGATTAAAATACAGATTTATATAATGAATTTCCAAGATTTTGTGTTTTTTTCCCCCCTGGGCTCAAGTGAGTGATCCTTCCGCTTCAGACTCCCATTGTGCATAGCACAATGCCCAGCTAATTTCTGTATGTTTTGTAGAAATGAGGTTTTACTATGTGACTCAGACTGATCTCAATTTTCTGCAATTCTTGAGCCTTGGCCTCCCAAAGTGCTGGGATTACAAGTGTAAGCCACCACACCCAGTCAAATCTCTCATTTCAATTGCTGGTACCTTATTTGTTGTTCCTTTTGAATAAGAAGAGCAAATTTCCATGTGGCCAGTCAAGGAATGTTCCCAGCTGGGCCTTGAGTCATGGGATAAGTCTCTGTCACTATTTGTGTGGTACAGTGCAGGGTTAAGGAGCACTGACTGTGAAGTTATTTGGACCAGGCTTTAATGACTCATATACTCTGTGACCTTAACCTCTATAAGCCTCATTTCAACTACAAAAGAGATATAGCACCTGCCATAGAGTCATATGAAGACTAGAGATTAGTATACACAAAGTACTCAAGAGATGCGCGAGTTACCCAGAGGAGCTACTGACCAATGCCGTGCTTTTCCATGAGGGCAATGAGGTCAGCCTCAGTGAGCAGCTGGGGTGGGCTGGTCTCCCCATCCACCATTTCCACAGTGCTGGGCTGAAAGCAGGAGCCTCGCTCATAGATAGGAAGGATCTACAGGGAGCAGCAGACACAGCAGTCAGATTATTCTGTCATCACACTCAGGCAAAAGGCAACCACCATTTCAAGCAACATGATCCTGCTCCATCAGACAGCTCAGGGCTGGGAGCAAGCCTGTCCTCCCTTTCCTTGGGGCCCACCTCTTTATCACCTTGTCACTCCAATGGTCATATGGATACACGTCCAGATAGTTTCGGGCCAGAATCATGAGGCCATGGGCCACAAAGCGTTCCTGAGCAATGTCAATCTCTACGGTGGTCTCCTGCCCCTGTGCATCCTGGGAACAGCAAGCCAGGAAATGGCGAACAATAAACTCATACAGCCGTTGCTCGTCTCCCTAGGAAGAAAAGAAGTCTGAAACTCCTTCCAGGATATCACCTCTCATGAAGAGGACCATTACTGGTAGTTTAAACTTGGTTTATGCCACCTTTCAGCCTAAAATTCTAAACAGGCCACACCGATCCTTAGGTATTGCACTAACATGGAGCATCAGACAAATGCTGGAGAAGGGAAGGGTTCAAGCTGCCATATCTCACAATTCTAACTGGGCAAAGATAAGCAGGGGAATCATCTTCTCCTCCAGATTAGGAAGTGGTTATTTGATACAAACTCAATCTCAGCAGAAAACATGACCAAAGCATAAGTTAGCCAGAGACTCCTCCAAATATAAGTGACATGGAGCCAACCACAGTGGTTCATTCCTGTAATCCTAGCACTTTGGAATGCAGAGGCGAGAGAATTGCCTGAGCACAGGGGTTTGAGACCAGTCTGAGCAACTTGGAGAGACCTTATCTCTACAATAAAAAAAAAATAATAAAAATAAAAACATGGGCAACCATTTCAGGTCCCCTCCCACTGTGGGAGCTTTTCTATCTTCTCAAAAAATCCTGCTTAAAAAAATAAAATAAAATAACAATATTTTAAAAAATAAAAACATTAGCTGGGTGTGGTGGCACATGCCTATAGTTCTGGCTACTTGGAAGGCTGAAGTAGAAGGATCACCTGAACCCAGCAGGTTGAGGTTGTGGTGGCCATGATCGTGTCACTGCACTCCAGCCTGGGCAACAGAGTGAGACTCTGACTCAAAAAAAAAAAAAAAAATACAAAAGCTTATAAGAAAGGAAAATAATTCCCATAATTCTACCCTCTACTAGGAACCACATTGCTTTTTTTTTTTGTTTTTTGAGTTGGAGTCTCACTGCCTCCCAGACTGAAGTGCCATGGCACGCTTCTGGTCACCGCAGCCTCGACCTGCTGGGCTCCGGTGATCCTTCCACCTCAGCCTTCCGAGTAGCTGGAATCACAGGCACACGCTACCACGCCCAGCTGATTTTTAAAAATTTATTGTAGAGATGAGATCTCGCCAAGTTGCCCAGGCGGGTCTCGAACCCGCAGGGGCGGGGGGGGCTCAGGCAATCCACTCACCTCAGCCTCCCAAAGCGCGGGATTACAGGCTAAGCCACCGAGCCCCGCCACATTGTTTTTTATTGTACACATATAATCATAATAAAATTGTAGCCTCAAGTAGCTTTGTAAAAACTTTTTTTTTACTGCATTGGAGTCGCACTGTGTTGTATAGGCTGGAGTACAGTGGCACACTCATGGCCACCGCACACCTCAGCATCCCAAAGTACTGAGATTGAAGGCGTGAGCTACCGCGCATGGTTGTAAAAACTACTTTTTAATGCTATATCCCATGGGCATGTTCTCATTTGCTACAGTATTTTTAAGTATGATATTTAATGATTGCTTAGATATACCATAATGTTTTTTGCCAAATCTGTTTTTAGAACATGATGCTTCCAACTTTCGGAAGCCTCATATGCTACAGTTAACATTTACAGACATAAATTATTTCCTCTGAACAAACTCTTAGAAGAGGAATTATAGGATATGCATACGAACATCTCATGGGCTTCTAATACAGTGAGACTCATTAAGTCTTTGATTACCTAATTCAAACCTAAATGACTCTTATGCTTGCAGAGCCTACTGCCCTGGCTAAGGAAACAACTGAGACCCTCAGACAATCAAGCAGGGATGAGTAGGGAAATTCCACAGTGACTGGAGCATGACAGTGGGTGGTAGCAAAGTTTCAGGAAGGCAACAGAACCCAATCCAGGCATGGAAAGACAGATAGGATTCTCCAATTACTTAAAGGCCATAAGGTTCGCTGCAGGGGTGAGGGCAGGGGCTGGGCATGGGTACGAGGAGGTATGTTGTCTAAGCTGTGTGAGGGACAAGGGTAGAAGCCTCCGAAGCTGACAGAGTGGGGATATGGGCCTGGAGTGGGAGTGGGGCCCACCATGGGGGTGGCCTTTCATAAAAGCCAACCAGAATATTGTGAAATAGGAGAAGTTTGACACTGAATTCTCTTTTCTTTCTTTCTTTTTTTTTTTTTTTGAGTTGGAGTCTCACTCAATCATCCAGACTGAAGTGCAGTGGCAAAGCTCCCAGCCACCGCAGCCTCAACCTGTTGAGGTCTGATGATCCTTCTGCCTCAGCCTTCCAAGTAGCCGGAACTACAGGCGCGCCTATCACACCCAGCTAGTTTTTGATTTATTGTAGAGACAAGGTCTCACCAAGTTGCCTGAGCGGGTCTTGAACCCTCAGGCTCAGGCAATCCTCTCACCTCGGCCTCCCAAAGTGCTGGGATTACAGGCTGAGCCACCGAACCTGGCGAATTCTCTTTTCTAAAAAGGAAGAGCTATTTCAAGATCCCTTAGTTCTTCTAGTTAGAGTCCATAAAATAAATTCAAATCCTATTACTGATCCTTAGCACCTCCCTCTGGGTTTCAGAAGGTAGCACATTCAGGGAAACCAACCTGCAAACTGTTGGTGTATTTGGTGGGGTGAATGGGAGGGTGAGCTTGGTCAGACTTATTCCCATTGCGTGGGGTGGGGCCGCCCCGTTCCAGAATGCTCTGGGCAAAAGCCCCCCAGTGTGGATCCAGGGTCTGTTGTTCCACCAACACTGTCAAGTTTAAGTCTTTGGGGAAAATGTTTGTTTCCGTTCGAGGATAGCTGATGTACCTAAGACAAACAAAAGGAAATGTGAAGGCTCTTTGGTTTATGAACTGAAAGCATCTGATAACACCTGCAATCACCCATCTGATATAGTCAATTCAACTGAAAGCAGCCTAGGTTACCTATATTGAGCAAAGTTCTGAGATATAATACCGCATAGGCTAAAAAGCAGCCAGCTCTCTCTCTAGGACACTCAAAAAGCCAAAGAAGAAATGAAAGGGGCAGGATGATGCAGGGTGAAGGTCCAGCACTCTGCCAAGCAGCCTTGTGACCTGGGCACACCAATCACCTTTCTTTTTCTTTTTTTGGAGTTGGAGTCTGACTCTGCCACCCAGGCTAGAGTGTAGTGGCACACTCATGGCCACCACAGCTTCAACCTGCTGGGCTCAGGCAATCCATCTGCCTCAGTCTTCCAAGAAACTGGAACTACAGGCGTACACCACCATGCCCAGCTAAGTTCTTGACTTATTGTAGAGATGAAGTCTTACCAAGTTGCTAGTGGGCTCAGGCAATCCTCTTGCATCCACCTCCCAAAGTGCTGGGATTACATGCATGAGTCACTGTGCCCAGCCACCACTCACTTTTCTTTGATTCAGTTTGACAGACCAACTGCAGTCCACGAACCTCACTGGGCCCGACAGTTCAACCAGTATGTGCTCCTGTAACTTTCCTTAGAGTATATAAAAAATAATGCTCTCCAATAAGCCTAAAATGTGGACTCTATATGTAATTTTAAATTTAAATGAGCCACCTAAAAACACTGAAATATGGCGGGGTACAGTGGCTCACACCTGTAATCTCAGCACTTTAGGAGGCTGAGGCAAGAGGATAGCCTGAGTCCACGGGCTCGAGATCAGCCTGGGAAACTTGGCAAGACCTTGTTTCTACAATAAATCCAAAAATTAGCTGGGTGGGGTGATGCGTGCTTGTGGTTCCAGCAATTTCGAAGGTTGAGGTGGAAGGATCGCCTGAGCCCAGCAGGTCGAGGCTGAGGTAGCTGTGAGCATGCCACTGTATTCCAACCTAGGTGACAGAGTAAGACTTCAACTTAAAAAAAAATAAACACACACACACACTGAAATGCCTTTTCTATATTAGTGGAGTCAATGTCAAAATCCTTTCACGTCAGCCCTGATACTTACACAATCTGTTTCCCCAGGAGCTCTATTTTCAAATATTTCATCCTAATAAAAATACTTCAAATTATACTCCAAAATCCAGTATATTTACCCTTGAGTGTAGAGCTTTTCAGCAATCCTCATGGTTTCTTTAGCATTTATTCTCAACTTTCGAGAAGCCAGCTTCTCAAGCTCCTGTGAAATGGGTCAATGGGCATATTAGGTATAGTGCACGAATGAGAGGGCATGACCTGACTATACAACTCATCTTCAGACAAGTCTGGCCCCTGTCACTGAAGGCTCTTCTGTCACTGAGAGGAGGAGTAACTGTGTCTGAGAATGATTTCTGGACCTGCCAGGCAGAGCCAACTGTCAATCCACTGGTTCTCGGACTTGGATGTGCAGCAGTTAAAACTCACCTGGGAGCCAGCAGATTCACAGACCCTGGAAGCTGGGGAATCTGACAGAGCATGGCCAAGAATGAAGTCAAAATCTGCAATTTTTTTTTTTGAGTTGGAGTCTCACTCTGTCACCCAGCCTGGAGTGCAGCGGCACGCTCATGGCCACCAAAGCCTCGACCTGCTGGGCTCAAGCGATCCTTCTGATTTAGCTTTCCAAGTAGCTGGAACTACAGGCACGTGCCACCACACCTGGCTAATTTTTTTTATTTATTGTAGAGATGAGGTCTCACCAAGTTGCATAGGCTGGTCTCGAACCTGTGGGCTAAGGCAATCCTCTTACCTCAGCCTCCCAAAGTTCTAGGATTATAGGCGTGAGCCACCGTGACCAGCCTAAAATCTGTATTTTTAAACAAGTAGTTAAACATACTGTTCTGACATAGAACCACACTTTGAGAACACTATCCAAGCCCCACTAAATTCTGCCAGATGGTGAAAAGCATTCTTTGAGGCCCCCAAGGGCATAATCAGCTGTTCTTTTCTCTAGGTGACACTCCAACAATGTTGTCAACTATATGTCAAAGCACATGTAACCAATGAGAAATAAAACAAATATGACTAGTATATAAAATTAATCCCCTTGTATCTTTCAACACACAAACATACTTATTGTGGCTTGCCCCAAGGCAAAGAATGTCAGCCAGCCCCTGCATGTTCAACCTCCAGAGTTAACCCTGACAGTGATTCTACCCTGAATTTTCCTGCTAAGTTGTGACTGGAAAGGCATATTCCTAAAGTGATTTACTCACATTTGTATCCCATGGGATGGCTCTTCCTGTGATCAAAAAAATTAAGAAGCCCTGTCCTCAGGCTGGTTAATACAGCAGATTATTTAAAATATTTACATAGATTATGCAGTAATATTAAAAAATGCTTGAGTAGAAAACACAAGATACTCCATATGTATAAAATGCACGTATTAAACAAAGGACAAAGACACCAAAATCATATCAGCAATTAGAAGTTATAGATTATTTGCTTTCCTTTTTGTTTCCCAAACATTATATAATGCAGCTATATTGCATTTGTTGACTTAAAAAAAATAATCAGTTGGGTGCAGTGGTTCAGCCTGTAATTCCAGCACTTTGGGAGGCCGAGGTGAGAGGACTGCCTAAGCCTAGGGGTTCGGGACCAGCCTGGGCAACTTGGCAAGACCTCATCTCTACAATAAATCACAAAAACTAGCCGGGCGTGGCAGTGTGCGCCTGCAGTTCCAGCTACTTGGAAGGCTGAGGCAGAAGGATTGCCTGAGGCCAGCAGGTCAAGGCTGCAGTGGCTGTGAGCATGCCACTGCACTTCAGCCTGGGCAACAAAGAGTGAGACTCCAACTCATAAAAATAAATTAATTCTTCATCATCATCATCATCATCATCATCATCAAGAGGCCAAGTAGACCCATTTCTGTCCCAAGTGCTTTGCTGTGTGGTCCAGTGATAGGTGATGCTGCTTCTTTCCACTAAGCCACTGTCCATGAAGTAGAACCATAGCCCCAACAACAGGAAGTAATTGTCCACAGTGTCTGAAACAGTCTGAAACATACCACTGTGTCCAAAGCTTGAGGCCGCCATTTGCTCTTGGGCTTAGATCTGACCTCCACCACAGTTGCCATGGGATCCTAGAAAGCCAGGAAAGCAAAGATCACATGAACCTGTTGGTGCGCTCTCTCCAGCCTTCCTGTCAACAAGCCCCTGTTCATCACCCCAGACCACACTGGCCGCCTGCTGAAGCCACAATGACAGCCCACGAGAGTGCCCCACTTAATGCCGCTTATAGCCAACAGTGTGGTGGACCCCAACACTCCTTTCCCACTCAAATCAGATTTTGAAGGGCATTTCCACAAGCTTTAAGGAGCCTCCTTCCAAAGCTTAAGAATACAACAGTCCACAAATCTTCCAAGTGCAGGTTCCCATGTACACCTGCAGAGTTATTTTTTAAATTTAAATTCAGGATAATACAGGTCAGAAATAGGAGAAATTTTACAACAAAGCTGGAGAATTTTCATCTTAAAACAAATTTCACACTTCCAAGTCTGTAAATGAACAAAGAACTCAGCTTAAGCAATTTGCTAATGAGGATATTTGTTTATCAAAATCTGAATTTCTCCATCCCAACACTAGGGACCAGCTGCTCATGAGCACAAAGTCTATCCTCTTCACATCCTAGTGAAGGAGAAGCAGGGGAGGTGTTTTAACAGAAAATGTACAGTGTCACAAAGACTCCTGTTAGTCCAGGGTCAAAAGGTAGAGTGGGGGACAGATAGGGGAGGCAGTGTGGTAAGCAGAAGGGCAGGAACATACTGGGTTCCAGCTCATGCTCTGCTGTGTACAGCTGTTGTGTGTCTATGGATGAGCCACTTCACTTTCTCTAGCTTCCTCATATGTCAAATGGAGATGGTACCGCTGTCCTCAGAGGTATTACCAGAATGAAACAAAATAACACATAGCACAATGTGCCTGGCACATAGCAGGTACTTCATGGCCATCACTATCACTCCCCTAACCATATTAATAATAAACCTGTCGGTGGCTCCAGCCAAGAAGCACACCATCACTTATCAAGTCTAGAGGGCTCAGAATTTTACCTAGGTGCCACTCTCACAGACCATGGGTTAAACCAGGCAGGTCCGTGTTGACTGGTAGAAAGTGACATCACAAAGTAGACAATCAGCCTGAGGCCAGGAAACATGAAAGTGGAGGCCCAACTTCGCTACTGAATGGCCAGAGGCCCAAGCTGGTCATGTGCCTCTCTGTGGCACACGTGTCCCCAACATTTCCTTCCCTGGCAGCCTCCTTCTAATTACTCTAGCCTCTACTCAAACATTACCCTTCCAGGAGGCCTTTCATGACCACAACATCTGTAATAGTCCCCACTTTGTGTCCCTAGAAGCTTTTCTCTATCCCTTTACGCTGCTTTATTTTCTTCCTGGGTTTTATTAATACATGAAATTAACTCACTCATTTGTTTGACCTTTCATCTCTCTAGATTTCCTCATGTGACAAATGAAGAGGAGGCTGGATCAGATGCTGTCCTCTCAGTTCTGGGAGTCTATGATCTGGACTTGTCTAGCTAATACTTGCTGGTGACAGTGTGGGAAGGAATTTAGCTATACAGTTCTCAAAATTTCTGATTTTATCTAATAGTTTGCAGTTCCTTCCCTTCCAAACTTTTACTGGTATTCTCACGGGTTTCTAGTCTTTCTGGTCCCCAAAAAGTGATGCCCTGAGATGCAAACTTAAAGCTAAAAGTTCAGAGCGGGAAAGGGACAGGGTCATCTCTTCCAACAGAGAGGGAGCGGCTTGGCAGGTGTGCAAAATGTTTCCTAGATCATTAGGGTTTCAAAGAGCTTCTTACCTCCATACACAACTGATAGAGAACAAGGCAAGCTGTGTGGTTAAAGAGGCGATGCCTTTTCCAGTTGAATTCTACGATGCCATCTTTGTGGTCATGAGTTACTATATTGGCAAGTGACAAACAGAAAGGCTGTATCTCAGAGAAGCCACGTGATAGACAGAAAAAAGGTATTTTACAAAAGAAGTCAAAGGAATATGAAATAGGGAAGCCTTTCTGAATAAAAAAGGAAACTTTTTTTTTCTTTTCCTCACCTACCCCAACTCCTGTTCACCAACTCCTCTTCCTCATCCTTCCCAGTTCCCATTTTCCAACTCCTCTCAACTCTCCCCAATTCCCAACTTCCAACTCCTCTTCCTCTCCCTCCTCAGCTCCTGTTCACCAACGCCTCTTCTTCACCCCTCCCCAATTTCCTATTTCTAACTTCTTTTCCTCACTCTCCCTAGCTCCTGCTTACCAACTTCTCCAACAATGGAAACTTTTATGTCAATTCTGAATACTGGAAAGGGGTAGGGTGTAATACTGTAATGAGGTAAGGACAGCAAGATTAAAAAAAAAATTACAAGCCGGGCTCGGTGGCTCAGCCTGTAATCCTGCACCTTGGGAGGCTGAGGTGAGTGGATTGCCTGAGTCCGCGGGTTCGAGACCCGCCTGGGCAACTTGGCGAGACCTCATCTCTACAATAAATTAAAAATTAGCCAGGTGTGGTAGTGCACGACTGTAATTCCAGCTACTTGGAAGGCTGAGGCAGAAGGATCGCCGGAGCCCAGCAGGTCGAGGCTGTGGTGACTGAGAGTGGCCTCTGCACTCCAGTCTGGGTGACAGAGTGAGACTCCAACTCAAAAAAAAAAAAAATTACATATTTAATTAGTGTTATTAAAGTTCACAGTCCCCCTTTCTATACCTGGGCCTGTACCATAAACAACCCCTAGTCTTACCTTTAATTCTGTGGAAGATTTCTGGCACAAAAGCCTGAATGGCTTTGAACCTCTCTACCACAAAGCCCAGTGTAGGGAACTGGCAGCTGCCGTAACTGATGAGCTGCTCTGCCAGCACCTCAGGGAAAATCCTCTGAAGCCGCAGGGTCTGGAATCTGGTGAAAGCAGCTCCTGGAGAGTGAGGGTGGAACAAAGGAAAGAACAAGAAAATGATGGAAGGCAAGGTTAGACCTGGCTGACACATTAATTCAGAACCTTACTTTTGGTTCCACAACTCAACATCAGTGTGCCATGTGGCCACAGGAGGGGGGTCAATTCAGCTCCTCACCAATCCTCAGGTCCAGCTCCTGCCTCACGTCCACAGCATCACTCACTCTCTGATCAGGTTCAGTCAGGTTTTCACAGGCTGTCCTAACAGCACGGGGTGTGATCTCAGAGAAACGGGCTCGCAAAACCTGCAGACTGGGCTTCACTAGAAAACACAAGGTGTCACCAAGGTCAAAGTCAAATCACATTGCTCTCTATCATAAAGGCCTCTCTTTTCTCAAACCACCTTGAAATAAAGGTAGACCAGTTCAAGAAGCTATGAGCGACCTAATTTACTTATCAGGTTAAATCAGTGGTATACAATATCTAAGAAGGAAACATTACTATAACCTTTAAATTGAGTGTTGTCAGAAATAACAGAGGAGTTAATTTTAGCTAATAACTAAAGTTCTCTTGTTGAGTCTTTTGAAACCTTGAAACCTTCATCTTATTTGCTCTCTTAAGCTTTAGGGAAAAGAAAAATTTTGTTAATTAAAGGGTCAAGTGGGGGAATTCATGTCCCTTCAGAAAAGATATAGGACATATACACTGTGCTTGAAAGTTAATGCATTTGGCCGAGTGCAGTAGCTCATGCCTGTAACCCCAGCACTTTGAAAGATGTAGGTGAGAGGACTGCCTGAGCTCAGGGGTTCAAGACTAGTCTGAGCAACATGGTGAGACCTCGACTCTACAATAAATTGAAAAATTAGCCAGGCATGGTGGTGCATGCCTGTGGTTCCAGTCACTTGGAAGACTGATGGGGAAGGATCACCTGAGCCCAGGAGGTCAAGACTATGGTGGCTGTGAGCATGTCACTGCACTCCAGGGCCTGGATGACAGAGTGAGACTCCGACTCAAAAAAAAAAAAAAAGAGAGAGAGAGAGAGAGAAAGTTAACGCATTTAAATTTCCAGGGGTCATTATAGCATTATAGCTTTCAACACAAAATTACATAGGGAAAAATAGCAATCCAATCCTTTGAGCAAGAGAATGGCCTATCCATCACTTCCTAAAAATTACCCAAAATCATTAACCCTGTAGCGTCATCCAAATCCACTACTATTTATTTAATAACTGCTAGGCATTGTACAATAAATATGGGTGATTCAAAAAGCAAATAGAATATTTTAGAATTTTCTTTGTACTTTATTTATGGTGTATTCATTCTTTTGTATATATTCAATATACAATTTTAAAAATAGAACATAAAATCCTTGTTCTCAAGGAGTTGGGAGTGTACTTATACCTGACACCTGACAAGGAATAACTGGTCTACATCATTTGTTAACTCAGTTAATAGCTACAGCACCCCTAGGAAACATGTCAAAGTTGTATACAGATTAGGAAGTCCTGGTTCCCAAGGGGTCAGAGATTTGATCCAGGACATACAGGCGGTGAGACTCACAGATTGATTCATGAGGAAAAGTATCTGTGAAGGAACTCATCCACAGCCCATGTGTACACATAGGTAGGAGAACACTCTATGGGGGTCCAAAGTAGAGGAATGCAGCAGTAGCTGTACTTACCAGCCTTGCACACATGGATAATCTCAAACCCGATGTTTTCACCTTCTCTATCACAGTCAGTCCAGATCACGAGAACTTGGCACTGTCGCGTCTCTCGTTCCAGAGTTTTCTGAAGTTCACAGTAAGGAAAGAGTGGTGAGAACAATTACAGGGCAACGACTTGACACCTCTACACTAAAGGGACCTGACTGAAGATAAATGCTGTTCTTAAAATGTTCCAGCTTGGCAAGAGAAAGAGTCAGAGAAAACTGCATTTACCACCGTTCATGATGGGGCCACCAGTACAACCCCCAGAACCATAAACAAGCTTCTAGAAAACAGAGAATTTAATACAACTTCACTAGTATAATGAAACTGTATCTTAGCTCCAACATACACATACAATTCTAGCGGTTCTAAATATGTCTTGGTTTTAAAAAATGAACCCTGACTGAGTTTCAGCCTAAGAAGTTTCCCAGTTAGCAAGTAATTAGCTATAGCTATAAGTGCCCTGACTGCTTGAGAACTGGCAATTTACTGTCAAACAACCATTTACACTTTGTAGCCTCCTCCCTCAAACTAGGGGTAGGATGGGGGCTAGAACTAATACTTTTTTTTTTTTTTTTTGAGCTGGAGTCTCACTCGGTCATCCAGACTAGAGTGCAGTGGCCACTCCCGGCCACCGCAGCCTCGACCTGCTGGGCTCCGGCGATCCTTCCACCTCAGCCTTCTGAGTAGCCAGAATTACAGGCATGCGCTACCACGCCTGTCTGATTTTTTTTGGATTTATTGTAGAGATGAGGTCTCGCTGCCCAGGCGGTCTCAAACCCGCGGACTCAGGCAATCCACTCACCTCAGCCTCCCAAAGGCGCGGGATTACAGGCTGAGCCACTGAGCCCGGCTAGAACTAATACTTTAACAATACTTATTCCTAGGATTTATTTAAATAACTACTATGCATGTCAAAAGTTTACTTCAGTCCCTTGGCCATGCAGTTCAATGAACAGCTTCATTTATACAAAAGGTAAGAATTAACTTTTTAAAACATGGTTTTGAGTTTGATGGAAAAATCTTATCAACAAATGCCAATACATTTAAAATACAATCACTCAGTGTGACTCTGTGGCTGTTCCAACTTCAGTGCCATGTCTTCCAAAAGATCCTACCTTGATGTCTACAAAATTCTCTGGGCAGTACTTTTCAATTTCAGCTTCAAAGAGGACAAGGGGGTTGCAACTCTGCCTAGAAAAGAAGCAAAACCACAAAGTGTCACCGTAGTACATAGAAGAGCCCCCAATCTAATGAGACAGGGACTTCATGAGTGGATCCCAAACAAAAAAGGTTCTAGTAAGCTGAAAGCAAGACTATGACTCCCTGCACAGTACACTGTCTGCTTCCCCATGAGCTGCTAAGCAGAATTCTGGAACCCTTTCATGGTCATCTGCAATAGGATAAATGCAATCCAATAACTATATGAAAAAGTCTGGTTATTTTTGCACAACACCTAAAAGTGGCTGTTTATTCTAAAGACCTGATACAAATTCAGAATGAATCAGATAAACCCCAGGTCATTTTAATATCATAAATTACACAGTAAGATGAACACACCTCAAAATTCCTGTAATATTTCACAACTTAATAATCTTTTTTTTTTTTTTGAGTTGGAGTCTCACTCTGTCGCCCAGACTGGAGTGCAGAGGCAATTACAGGAGCATGCTACCACGCCTGGCTAATTTTTGATTTATTGTAGAGACAAGGTCTCGCCAAGTTGCCCAGGTGGGTCTCAAACCCGTGGGCTCAGACAATTCACTCAACTTGGTCTCCCAAAGTGCTGGGATTACAGGCTGAGTCATCAAGTCCAGCACAACTTAATTATTTTAAAGTTCCTTCCTCTAGGAACTGTACTAACCATTTTCGAAACTGCATCTGGAAATCATGAGCCAGAAGATGTCCAGAAACCGAAGTCATTATCATGGTAACATTCTAAATAACAAAATTCAAGTTAGTTGTAGTTATATTTTGCCACATCATTCAAATGAAAAGGAGAAACTTTTTTTTTTTTTTTTTTGAAGTTGGAGTTTCACTTCATCACCCAGGCTGGAGTGCAGTGGCATGTTCACAGCCACCCTAGCATCGACCTGCTGGGCTCTGGCGATCCTTCCGCCTCAGCCTTCCAAGTAGCCGGAACTATAGGCACGTGCTACCATGCCCAGCTAATTTCTGATTTACTGTAGGGACGAGGTCTTGCCAAGTTGCCTGGGCTGGTCTCAAACCCGCTGGCTCAGGCAATTCACTTGCCTCAGCCTCCCAAAGTGCTGGGAAATTTCTATTTAAAAAAAAAAAATTGACTGGGGAAAAAAAACAAACATAAATAATCTCAAAGCCAAAAGCCACAGGAATACAATCACACTCTAATTCTAGTACCATGGTGACTTTTGTATCATTTAAAATTTCTTCAAACTATTGTACATTAGCTTCTTTCTTGTTAAAAAGAGCTAAGATGGGACCGTATTTCATTAAAAAGAGGAAATCTTTAGTAAATTTTATTAAATTTCTTGGTCGGGCGTGGTGGCTCAGCCTGTAATCCCAGCACTTTGCGAGGCTGAGGCGAGAGGATTGCCTGAGCCTGGGGATTCGAGACCAGCCTGAACAACTTGGTGAGACCTCATCTCTACAAAAAAGAACAAAAAAACTAGCCGGGTATGGTGGCGTACATCTGTAGTTCTAGCTACTTGGAAGGCTGAGGTGGAATGATCACCTAAATCCAGCAGGTCGAGGATGTGGTAGCTGTGAGCGTGCCACTGCACTCCAGCCTGGGCCATAGAGTGAGACTCTGACTCAAAAAAAAAAATTTTTTTTAATTAAATTTCCTTATAAATTTTAAATCGTGTTATCAGAAATCTTTAGGTTGTAGCAACAGTTATTCTTTTTTTTTTTGAGTTGGAGTCTCCCTCTGTCACCCAGACTGGAGTGCAGTGGCCGCTCCCAGCCACCGCAGCCTCGACCTGCTAGGCTCTGGCGATCCTTCCGAGTTGCTGGAACTACAGGCGTGCACTACCACGCCCAGCTAATTTTTTTTTTTTTATTTACTGTAGAGATGAGGTCTTGCCAAGTTGCCCAGGCAGGTCTCGAACCCGCGGGCTCAGGGAATCCACTCATCTCAGCCTCCCAAGGTGCGGGATTACAGGCTGAGCCACTGAGCCCGGAGCAACAGGTAAGTTATTCTTAAGACAGTGACATATTCTACATAAGACAAGGCTACTTCCTCTTGGTTAAATAACTCTACAACACAAGTAATTTAGGGAGGATTTATAGTAAACAGTTGCTCTTTTTAGCTATAAATAAAAATTCAAGGAATGTACACCAAAATGGCACATGGATGTTTAGCTCTATGATGGAAATATTTTAGTAACCTACCTGGCCATACAGGTGATAATCAAATTCATAGATCTTGTTGAATTTAGAAAGTCCTTCTCTCTATAAAACACAATAGAAATAGAAATAAATAATAAACAAAATAGAAAATAAATAATAAGCAAAATAGAAATAAAAAATACAAATTACATTAAAAAGTGACTCAGCATAAAGATCAAGCAAAACCCTGATAACTGGTAATATTAAAAATGCAAAATATATTGGCTGGGCATAGAGGCTCACACCTACAACCCCAGCACTTTGGGAACTGGGATCACGCATTTTGGATTTTTTAAGATATGGGGGTCTTGCTAAATTGCTTAGGCTGGTCTCAAACTCCTGGGATCAAGCAATCCTCCCACCTTGGCCTCTCAAAGAGCTGGAATTACAGGTGTGAGCCAACGCACCCAGCCAAAAATATAAATTTTAAAAAAAAGCTACTTGGCCTGTTGGCACATACCCATATTCCTGGCTACTCGGGAGGATCACTTGAGCCTAGGAAGTTAGGCTGCAGTGAGCTGTGATCATGCAATTGTACTCTGGCTGGGTGACAGAGCGAGATTCTGTCTAAAAAAAAAAGAAAGAAAGCTGGGCACGGTGGCTGACGCCTGTAATCCCAGCACTTTGGGAGGTGGAGCACTTTGGGAGGTGGAGACAAGAGGATTGCCTGAGTCCAGGGTTTCCAAACCAGCCTGTGCAACTTGCTGAGACCTCACCTCTTCAATAAATCAAAAAATTAACTGGGTGTGGTAGTGCACCCCTGTGGTTCCAGCTACTTTGGAAGGCTGGAGCAGAAGGATCAACTGAGCCCAGCAAGTTGAGGCTGCGGTAACCATGAGTGTCAGAGTGAGACAATGTGAGACTCAGACTCAAGAAAGAAAAAAAAGCATTTCTTATAGATAAAAACTAGGATAACTTACTAAGACCACTTATTGAGTGGCCCTTCAAAATAGTTCCCATGCACATACTTAACAAAATCCATGAATTAAATTTTTACATTGGGAGGTAACCCTTAGATCACTAATGTAATGTCCTCGTACAGATGAGAATGGACTTGTCCAAGATCATATGACAAATTAATAACAGAGAAAGGATTTAGGACCTGTGTCTTAATGATTTTCTCCTTCTTCCCCATATATCTCTGCAGCTTCCTGGCCACAAAACTGCAATAATTAACTGGTGACCACAAGTAAGTCATTCAGTTTTTTTTGGTTTTTTTTTTGAGTTGGAGTCTCACTCTGTCATCCAGACTGGAGTGCAGTGGCCGCTCCCGGCCACCGCAGCCTCGACCTGCTGGGCTCCAGCGATCCTTCCGCCTCAGCCTTCCAAGTAGCTGGAACTACAGGTATGCGCTACCATGCCTGGCTCATTTTTGATTTATTGTAGAGATGAGGTCTCGCCAAGTTGCCCAGGTGGGTCTCGAACCCGCAGGCTCAGGCAATCCACTCACCTCAGCCACCCAAAGGCGCGGGATTATAGGCTCAGCCCCCGAGCCTGGCTCACTCAATTTTCTAAGTCTCAATTTATTCCTGCATGAAGTTTATCTCTAGGTCCCTTCTGACTCTGACATCCAATCACGCAGAGCCGCGGTCAGAACTGGAATCCAGTTTACAAAGCACTTCTTCAGTGGCCATTATGAATGAGCAAGACCTTCTTTCTCTAAGTAGGTCTCACCTTCTTTACAAAGCTTATAAAAATAGTTTTGCCTGTGAGTTTCGCACCTACACTGTGGAAGATGAGAGAAAGACTGGAAATTGGGAAAACGCTCAAGAGCCAAGAAGGACCAGTATTGAAAGATTCTTCCTCAGTCTCCAAAAGGTAATTTTTTTACATGAAACTTTCAGCAATAATGAAGTGCTCTTTCAGCAATAGTGGCAACTCCTAAGAGGAAATTATGTTAGTATCTGATAATTAGTTCAGATGGTCTAACGTCATCAAAAGAAAATCCCCTCTACAAGTTTCAATTGATAGTCATGCCCTTTTAGTAATGGAGAATAGAAAGTCGTTTGACTTAATTGTTTCTGACTTCTTTTAAAGAAATCATAGGGACCAGGCTTGGTGGCTCAGGCCTGTAATCCCAGCACTTTGGGAGGCCAAGGCAAGAGGACTGCCTGAGCCCAGGGGTTCATGACCTGCCTGGGCAACTTGGTGAGACCTCCTTCTACAAAAAAGCAAAAAATTAGCAGGGTGTGGTAGTGCATGCCTGTAGTTCCAGTTACTTGGAAGGTTGAGGCGGAAGGATCACCTGAGCCCAACAGGTCAAGGCTGCAGTGGCCATGAGCATTCCACTGCACTCCAGCCTGTGCAACAGAGTGAGACTCCAACTCAAAAAATAAATCATTGAAGCCTTCCCAAACAAACTCTGATATGGATCCTGATATATATAACAAGATAGAGGTACTCTGGCTACAACACTCCTGCTAACTCAAGCTCTCTCCAATCCAGACCCATTGCCTCCTGAGATGCACATCCAGAGTACTGTGTATCTCTTGGAAACACAATGCGAAAACTACTGGTTTAATCCTCTCAAGGTAAATGACTTGTCTAATAGCATGTCTGCAACCCAAAGCCCAGGGCCCTCCCAAGACAGCCTGTTCTACCAATGGATAGTCTTGATGTTTTAAAATGTTTTTCCTAACACTGCAAACTTGCCTTCTTGTAGTTCCCATCTTCTGAGGATAGTGTACAATTATATGCCATTCTACCATTTGGGAGAGGTGCTCAGGGACTGAGGTGCTTTCAAATTACAGCAGAGACAGTTTTAGAACCTAGAGAAAGAAAATACCTGGTGGACAGCCTAAAAAGGGAGCTTTTATTGTCCTATTCACACATTTTTTTTTTTCTTTTTTTTTTTGTAGTCCTGGGCTCAGGTAATCCTCTTGTCTCAGCCTTCCAAAGTGCTGGGATTACAGTGGGTCACAGTGCCTGGACCCTATCCAAAGCCATTAAAAAAGAAAAAAAAATCCATTTTTCTCTATGTGCTCCTGTAGGAACTGATCATACTGCTGCCACTGAAACTATTCCAGAAATGCCTTCAAGATTTTTCCTTCTGAATATAAAAATACAAATAGACAAGTGGATTAAATGTTTTTCTGAAGGGACAGAAAGCATCACTGATGAAGAGAGGTCAGGATGGCCAGAAACGAGGTGAATTGACGAAAACACTGTAAAAGTTTGTTGAATTATGCATCAAAATTTTTGGCTGACTGTGAGAACATAGCAGACCAAATAAACATCAACAGAGAAACAGGAAAATCTTAACTGAAAATCTTGGCATGAGAAAGGTGTGTGCAAAAATGGTCCCAAAGAAGCTCTTGCATCATGACAATGCACCAGCTTACACGGCACTGTCTGTGAGGAAATTTTTAGCCAATAAACAAATAACTGTATTGGAACACCCTCCCTACTCATCTAATCTGGCCCCCAGTGAATTTTTTCTTTACCTAAAGACAAAGAAAATCTTGAAAGGAAGACTTTTTCTTTTCTTTTCTTTTGAGTTGGAGTCTCACTCTGTCGCCCAGACTGGAGTGCAGTGGCATACTCCCACCACTGCAGCCTCGACCTGCTGTGCTCCAGCAATCCTTCTGCCTCAGCCTTCCAAGTAGCTGGAACTACAGGCGCACACTACCACACCCAGCTAATTTTTGATTTATTGTAGAGATGAGGTCTCACCAAGTTTCCCAGGCAGATCTCGAACCTGCAAGCTCAGGCAATCCACTCACTTCGGCCTCCCAAAGCACTGGGATTACAGGCTGAGCCACCAAGCCCGGCCAAGGAAGACATTTTTATGACACTCAGGACATAAAGGATAATATGATGACAACTCTGACAGCCATTCCAGAAAGTTCTAAAATTGCTTTGACAGGTGTACTAGGCCCTGGTGTCAGTGCATAGCTTCCAAAGCCAAGGTGGCCATAGTGATATTCAGCAATGAGGTATGTAGCAGTTTTTCTAGGATGAGTTTGAGAACTTAATTGTCAGATCCCATATGCTATTAACTGTGGTTGCTGTGGGTGGCAGTGGAGTGGGGGTGGAATCAGTTTACCTGATATACATCTATATTCTTTGAACTGTTTCTAATAAGTATTATTGCTAAAGAGAGAGAGAAAAGATTCTATTTCTTGTTAATGTTGTGATTTCTTTCTATATTCTCTCTCTATATATTTATAACAGATGTCAAATAATTTTTTTTTTTTTTTGAGTTGGAGTCTCACTCTGTTACCCAGGTTAGAGGGCCATGACAGACTCACAGCCACCCCAGCCTCGACCTGCTGGGCTCAGGCAATCCTTCCACCTCAGCTTTCTTTTGCACCACCATGCCCGGCTATTGATTGATTGATTGATTGATTGATCGTAGAGACGAGGTCTCACCAAGTTGCCCAGGCTGGTCTTGAACCCCTAAGCTCAGGCAATCCTCTTTCCTCAGCCTCCCAAAGTGCTGGGATTACAGGCTTGAGTCACTATGCCCAGCCAGATGTCTAATAATTTATCATAAGGAAGTACAATTTATTTTACTATTCCGTTACTAAATACTTGTCATTTCTAGTTCTTTACTGTTATAAAGCTGCATTACCATCACGTGGTCCTGAGTTGTATGTGTCTGCCCTTAAAGGCAGGGATTGTGTCATTTTAAGCACATTTACCATCTGATTTCCAAGGAGTATACTGTTTCAGGGATAAATAAATAAACAGTGCCTTGCCACTATTCTTAGAGGGGGCAAGACTATGGGATAGATGGGCAATTAGCTAGACAATTAGAATCATAATGATCAATATCATTGGGAGAGATGAAAATGCATCTGGAAACAGAGGAGGGAATGGATGGGGAAGGATGCCTGGGAAAGATTTCACAAAAAAAGTTGTTAATTTAGGTTTTTTCTTTTTCTTTCTTTTTTGAGTTGGAGTATCACTTTATTGCCCAGGCTTGAGTGCAGTAGCATGCTCATGGCCACTCCATCGTCGCCCTGCTGAGCTCCAGTGATCCTTCCGCCTCAGTCTTCCAAGTAGCTGGAACTACAGGTGAGCGCCACTATGTCCGGCTAATTTTTTTATTTACTGTAGAG